ACCATCATTCTATTCTCCATCTCCATGAGCTCAGTTATTTTTATTTTTAGCTCCCACAAATGAGTGAGCATATGTGAAGTTTCTCTTTCTGTGCCTGGCTTATTTCATTTAACATAAGGACCTCTAGTTCCATCCCTGTTGATCTCATCCTTTTTTATGGCTGAATAATACTCCATTGTGTATATGTATCACATTTGCTTTATTCATTCATCTGTTGATGGATACTTAGATTGCTTCCAAATCTTGGCTATTGTGAATAGTTTTACAATAAATGTGGAAGTGTACATATTTCTTCAAAATACTGATTTCCTTTCTTTGGGGTATATACCTGGCAGTGGAATTTCTGGATCATGTAGTAATTCTATTTTTAGTTTTTTTTTTGAGGAACTACTATACTGTTCTTCATAGTGATTGTACTAATTTACATTCCCACCAACAGAGTTTCCTTTTCTCTACATCCTCAGCAGCATTCATTATTGCCTTTTGGGTAACAGCTATTTTTTCCTGGGATGAGATGATATCTAATTGTAGTTTTGGTTTGCATTTATCTGATGATCATTGATGTGATCATCAGATACCTGTTTACCATTTTTATGTCTTCTTTAAAGAAATACCTATTCAGATCTTTCACCCATTTTAAATCAGGTTATTAGATTTTGTCCCATTGAGTTCTTTGAGCTTCTTATGTATTCTGATTATTAATCCCTTGTCAGATGGATAGGTTGCAAATATTTTCTCTCATTCTGTGGGTTTTCTGTTCACTTTGTTGTTTCCTTTGCTGTACAGAAGCTTTTTAACTTGATATGATCCCATTTGTCCATTTTGCTTTGGTTGCCTGTGTTTGTGGGGTATTACTCAAGAAATCTTTGCCCAGTCTAATGTCCTGGAGGGTTTCCCCAATGTTTTCTTGCAGTAGCTTCATAGTTTGAGGTCTGAGATTTAAGTCTTTTGTCTATTTTGTTTTTATTTTTTACATATGGCATGAGATAGGGATCTAGTTTCATTCTTTTGCTTGTGGATATCCAGTTTTTCCTGCACCATTTATTGAAGAGACTATGGATATTCTATACTTCAATGTATTTTTGGCACATTTGTCAAAATTGAGTTCACTGTAGATATGTGAGTTTATTTCTGGGTTCTCTATTCTGTTACATTAGTCTGTGTGTCTGTCTTTATGCCAGTACTATGTCATTTTGGTTACTGTAGCTCTGTGATAGACTTTGAAGTTAGGTAATATGATGCCTCCCATTTTGTTCTTTTTGCTCAGTCTGTTCTCACACTGCTAATAAAGACATATCTGAGACTGGGTAATTGTCAAAGGAAAGAGGTTTCCTTTAACAGTTCCACATGACTGGGAAGGCCTCACAATCATGGCAGAAGGCAAAGGAGGAACAAAGTCACCTCTTACATGGCAGCAGGCAAGAGAGCATGTGCAGGAGAACTCCTCTTTATACCACCATCAGATCTCGTGAGACTTATTCACTAACACCAGAATAGCATGGGAAAGACCCACACCCGTGATTCAATTACCTACCACTTGGACCCTCTAATGACGTGGGAATTACGGGAGCTACAATTCAAGATGAGATTTGGGTGAGGATACTGCTAAACCATATCATTCAGGATAGCTTTGCTATTCTAGGTTCTTTGTGGTTCCATATAAATTTTAGGATTGTTTTTTCTATTTCTGTAAAAAATGTCATTGGTATTTTGATAGGGATTGCATTGAATCTGTAGATTGCTTTTGGTAGTATGAATATTTTAGCAATATTGATTCTTCCAATCCATGAATATGGAATGTCTTTTCATGTGTGTGTGTGTGTGTGTGTGTGTGTGTGTGCACGCGCATGTGTGTCCACTTCCTTGAATCAGTGTTTTATTGTTTTTGTTATAAAGACTTTTCAGTTCTTTGGTTAAGTTTGTTCCTACATAGCTTATTTTATTGGTAGCTATTATTAATGGGATTAGTTTCTTCATTTCTTTTTCAGATTATTCACTGTTGGCATATAGAGATGCTACTAAGCTTTGTATGCTTATTTTGTATCCTGCAACTTTCTGAATTTGTTTATTAGTTCAAATAGTTTTTTGGTGGAGTCTTTGGGTTTTTCCAAATATAAAATTATGCCATCTGCAAACAAGGATAATTTGACTTCTTCCTTTCCAATGTGGATGTCTTCCTTTTGTCTGATTGCTCTAGCTAGGACTTCCAGTACTATGATGAATAACACTGGAGACAGTGGGTATCCTTATCCTGTTCCAGATCTTAGGAGGAAGGGTTTTCAGTTTTCCCTTATTCAGTGTAATACTAGCTCTGAGTCTGTCATATATGGCTCTTATGATGTTGAGGTATGTTCCTTCTATATGCAGTTTTTCCAGGTTTATTACCATGAAGGGATATTAAACTTTGTCATCTGCTTTTTCAGCATTACTTGAAATAATAAGATGATTTTTTCCTTCATCCAGTTGATATGATGTATCACATGGATTGATTTGCATACATTGAATCATTCTTGCATTTCTGAGATAAATCCCACTTGATCATGATGAATGATCTTTTTAGTGTGTTGCTAAGTTTGGTTTGGTAGTATTTTGTTGAAAATTTTTGCATTAATGTTCATCAGGGATATTTGTGATATTTTTAGAAAACTAAAAAAAAATCATTTTTTGGATGCATCTTTGTCTGGATTTGGTATCAAGGAAATACTGGCCTCGTAGAATAAGTTTGGAAGTATTCCCTCATCCTTTTTTTTTTATATATATAAATAGCTGGGGTAGGATTTGTAGTAGATCTTCTTTAAATGTTTGTTAAAATTCAGCAGTGAAGCCATGGGGTCCCAGGCTATTCTTTGCTGTGAGACTTTTTATTATGACTTCAATCTCATTACTTGTTATTGATCTGTTCAGGTTTTGGATTTCTTCATGGTTCAATCTTGGTAGGCTGTATGTGTCTAGGAATTTGTCCATTTCTTCTAGGTTTTCTAATTTATTGGCATATAGTTGCTCACAGTAATCTCTAATGATTCTTTGAAATTCTGTGATATCAGTTGCAGTGTCTCCTTTTTCCTCTCTGATTTTATTTATTTAGGCCTTCTTTCTTGGTTTATTGTCAATTTGTTGATCGCTCTCTTTTTTTTTTAAGTTTTATTTCATTAATCTTTTTTACTGATTTATTCATTTCTACTCTGATTTTTATTACTTATTTTCTTCTACAAATTTTAGGTTTGGTTTGCTCTTGCTTTTATACTTTTTAAAGATGCATTGTTAGGTTGGTTATTTGAAGTTTTTCTACTTTTTTGATGTAGATGTTTATTACTACAAACTTTCCTGTTACTACTGCTTTCGTTGTATCCTATAGGTTTTTGTATGTTTTGTTTGCATTTTTGTTTCAAGAAATTTAAAAATTTTCTTCTTTGTTTCTTCATTGATCCACTGGCCATTCAGGAGTGTATGTTTAATTTCCATGTGCTTGTATAGTTCCCAATGTTCCTCTTGTTATTGATTTCTGATTTTATTACTTGTGGGCACAGAAGACACTATATAGTTTCAGTTGTTTTGAATTTATTAAAGACTTTTTTTGTGGCCTAACATATGGTCTAACCCTGAGAATGATCCATGCAGTGAGGAGAGGAATGTGTATTCTGAAGCCATTGGTTGAAATGTTCTGTAAATATCTGTTAGGTCCTTTTGGTTTATAGTGGAGATGAGTCTGATGTTTTGTTGTTTATCTTCTGTCTGTATGATATGTCCAATGCTGAAAGTAGGATGTTGAAGTCTCCAGCTATTATTGTATTGGGGTCTCTCTCTCTCTCTCTCTTTAGCTCTAATAATATTTGCTTTATATATTGGTGGTCCTGTGTTGACTGCTTATATATTTACAATTGTTATATCCTCTTGCTGAATTGACCCCTTTACCATTACAAAATGACCTTCTTTGTCTTTTCTTACAGTTTCTGTCCTAAAATCTATTATGTCTGATATTAAATATAGCTACTTCTGCTTTTTGTTGTTGTTGTTGTTGTTGTTGTTGTTGTTGTTTGCATTGGCATAGAATATCTTTTTCTTTCTTTCCACTTGTCCTTATACAGGCAGTGTATTCCTTGCAGGCAACAGATAATAGGGTTTTGTTTATTTTTTGAGACAGCTTTTATCAAGCGATCCTCCCACCTTGGCCTCCTGAGTAGCTGGGACTACAGGTGCATGCCACCATGCCTGGCTAATTTTTGTATTTTTGTAAGACAGAGTTTGCCATGTTTCCCAAGCTGGTTTTGAACTCCTGGGCTCAAGCAATCCACCTGACTCAGCTTCCCAAAGTGCTGGGATTACAGGCATGAGTCACTGCACCCGGCTCAGATCATGTTTTTTCATTCATTCAGCCACTCTATGTCTTTTGATTGGAGAGTTTAGTCCATTTATATTCAGTATTATTATTGATACATAAGGACTTACTTATCAATTTTGTTTTTTTTTCTTCTGATTGTTTTGTGGTCTTCCCTCCCTCTCTCCCTCCTTCCCTTCCTTCTGTCTGTCCATCTATCTGTCTTCCTTTTTGTGAAGGTGGTTTTCTTCTGGTGGTGTGTTTTAATATCTTACTTTTTATTTTTTGTGTATCTATTGCAGGTTTTTTGATTTCAGGTTACCACGAAACTTGCAAATAATATCTTATAACCCATTATTTTAAACTAATGACAACTTAACATTGATTGCAAAAAAAAAAAAAAAAAACAAGCAAAGAGGAAACTAATACAAAGTCTACATTTAACTTCATCATCCCTACTGTTTAACTTTCTGTTGTTTCTATTTATATCTTACACCATCTATGTCTTGAAAAGTTGTTGTAGTCATCATATTTGATAGGTTTATCTTTTAGTCTTCTACTCAGAGCACAAGTAGTTTACACACCATAGGTACATTGTTATAATATTTTGTGTTTATCTCTATACTTAGTATTATCCATGAGTTCTGTACCTTCAGATGTTTTCTTATTGCTCATTAACAAGAACATGAATCAGGAATATTTCATGAATTTGTATGTCATCCTGTACAAGGGCCATGATAATCTTCTCTGTATCATTCCAATTTTAGTATTTGTGCGGCTGAAGAGAGCACTTAGCCAGTTTTTATAATGTTAAAGTGAGATTTGGAAGACCTGGGGATGCCCAGGTTACTGATGCTTGAGTTGCACAAGATAAGAAATACTAAAAAAAAAAAAAGCATATTGTTTTGATGTTCTTTGATGATATGCTTGAGCATTTTTCAACCACCCTGATTTTAAAATGTAAACTTCAATACATTCATGGAAGCAAGGTACAGATGTTGAGAGCCAGTGGTTCTAGGTTCAATTCCCAGCTCTACCCCTTACTCTGACTTCTGTGATTCAGTCTTCTCATCCCTACAATGAAGGTAATAATAATAATTGCTTTAAAACATTATGATATGGTTTGGCTCTGCATCCTCACCTGAATCTTATCTTGAATTGTAATCCCCTGTTTCAAGGCAGGGGCCTGTAATCCCTATGTGTTGAGGGAGAGAAGTGATTGGATCATGGGGGTGGTTCCCCCATCCTATTCTTATGATATTGAGTGAGTTATCATAAGATCTGATGGTTTTATAAGTGTCTGGCATTTCCTCTGCTTGTACTTCTGTCTCCTGCTGCCATGTGAAGAAGGTCCTGGCTTCGCCTTCACTTTCCACCATGATTGTAAGTTTCCTGAGGTGTCCCCAGCCATGTGGAACTGTGAGTCAATTAAACCTCTTTCCTTTATAAATTACCCAGTCTCAGGGAAGTTCTTCATTGCAGTGTGGGAATGTACTAATACAGAGAATTGGTACTACAAAGAATGAGGTACTGCCATAAAGATACCCAAAAATGCAGAAACAACTTTAGAACTGAGTAGCAGGCAGGGGTTGGAACAGTTTAGAGAGCTCGGAAGAAGACAGGAAGATGTAGGAAAGTTTAGGACTTCCTAGAGACTTGTTGAATGGTTTTGACCCAAATGCCAATAGTGATATGGACAATAAAGTCCAGGCTGAGGTCGTCTCAGATGGAGATGAGTAACTTATTGGAAACTGGAGCAAAGGTCACTCTTGCTATGCTTTAGCAAAAAGACTGGTGGCATTTGGCCTGGCCCTAGAGATCTGTGTAACTTTGAACTTGAAAGAGGTGATCTGAAATTGAAACTTCCATTTAAAAGGGAAGCAAAGAATAAAAGTTTGGAAAATTTGCAGTCTGACAATGTTGTAGCAAAGTAAAACCCATTTTCTGGGGAGAAATTGATGTCAACTGCAGAAATTTGCGTAAGTAATGAGGAGTCAAATTTTAATCACCAAGACAAGGGGGAAAAATATCTCCAGGGCCTGTCAGAGGTCTTTACAGCAGTCCCTCCCATCACAGGTTGGGAAGCCTAGGAGGAAAAAATGGTTTCATGGGCCAGGCCTAGGGCCTTGCTGCTTTGTGCAGTTTTGGCACTTGGTTCCAGCCATGGCTAAAAGGAGCCAACATACAGCCCAGGCCATTGCTTCAGAGGGTGCAAGCCCCAAGCTTTGGCAGTTTCCATATGGTGTTGAGTTTGTAGGTGTACACAGAAGTCAAGAACTGAGGTTTGCGAAACTCTGCCTAGATTTCAGAGAATGTATGGAAATGCCTGGATGTCCAGACAGAAGTCTGCTGCAGGGGAAAAGCTCTCATGGAGAACCTCTGCTAGAGCAGTGCAAAGGGAAAATATAAGGTTGGAGCCCCCACACAGGATCTCCACTGGGGCACTGCCTAGAGGAGCTGAGAGAAGAGGGCCAGCAACCTCCAGAACCCAGAATGGCAGATCCACCAATAGCTTGCACTGTGTGTCTGGAAAAGCCTCAGACACACTCAACACCAGCTGTGAAAGCAGCCAGGGTAGGGAGCTGTACCCTGTAAAGCCACAGGCATGAAGTTGCTCAAGGCCATGGGAGCCCAACCTTTGCATCAGCCCCTGGATTTGAGACATGGAGGCAGAGTAGATTATACTGGAGCTTTAAGATTTAATGACTGCTCCACTGGATTTTGGCTATGCATGGGACCTGCAGTCCCTTTGTTTTGGCCAATATCTCCCATTTGGAATGGATGTATTTACCCAATGCCTGTACCCTCATTGTACCTTGGAGGAAATTAACTTGTTTTTGATTTTACAGGCTCATAGGTGGAAGGGACTTGCCTTGTCTCAGATGAGACTTTGGACTGTGGCTTTTGACTTAATGCTGAAACACATTAAGACTTTGGGAGACTGTTGGGAAGGCATGATTGATTTTGAAATGTGAGGACATAATATTTGGGAGGGGCCAGAGTGGAATGATATAGTTTGGCTCTGTGTCCTCACACAAATGTCATCTTGAATTGTAATCCCCATGTGTTGAGGGAGGGCCCTGTAATCCCCATGTGTTAAGGAAGAAAGTGATTGGATCGTGAGGGTAGTTTCCCCTATCCTGTTGTCATGACAGTGAGTGAGTTCTGATGAAATCTGATGGTTTTATGTGTCTGGCATTTCTCCTGATTGCACTTGTCTCTCCTGCTGCCATGTGAAGAAGGTCCTGACTTCCCCTTTCCCACCATGGTTGTTAGGTTTCCTGGGGTGTCCCTAGCCATTTGGAACTGTGAGTCAATTTAACCTCTTTCCTTTATAAATCACCTAGTCTCAGAGAAGTTCTTTATAACACTATGAGAATGAACTAATACACATTAGTAGGAAGATTAAGTGACTGAATATTCATAAAACCCTCAGAACAGTGTCTTACACATGGTAGGTATTTATTAAATAAAAGATTAAAAACTAGAATCTTCTGAAGTCCCTGATTGTCTCCTAGATTTTATCCCTCTTCCCAGAACATAGGAAAAAGTCTACTAAATAACAATATGCAATCAGTTGACTCTCCCTAGCCTCCACAAAATAGATTCATCTCCAAGGACCAAGAATAAATAATTAGCCTGATATTGATTTGGTTTTGGGGTCATTCTTTATTGCCAGTTGACTAAGTTGTTTTTTTAGAGCACTAAGAAGTCAGTGATTTACAAAATGGTGTTTTGATTGAGGAGAGAAAAAGAATGGACACCCTCTATAAAATGGCAAAGTTAGTGGAACAGCATTTTGGCTGGACAGAGTATTTCAGGTTATGCCAGGCATTTAAAATCACAGGTCGTGATTCTGTCTTAAATCCATTGGTTGACACTTTTTTTTCCCAGTCAGAAATTCAGACAATAATTCAATGTACTGTGATGTTTATTACAATATATTTTATAATAATGAAAAATTGAAAATAATTTATATGTCCAACAACAGGGACTAGTAAATAAATTATGGTGCAGCCACATGCTAAAATGTGCAGCCACTAAAAGCTGTATTTCAAAGAACTTTCAGTGTTCAATGTTTTCAGTATAATGTTAAGCGAAAAGAGCAAGACATAAAACTGTGTAAAGTGCAGAATCTCAATTTTGTGACAAATATACACACTCACCCACATGCTCAAAGAAAAAAAAAGATGAGAAGAATATACGTCAGAAGCACATGGTGGTTGCCTCTGGGAGGTGAGATACTAGGTGGTTTTCATTTTCTTCTTTGTATTTTATATCCACATCCGTAAATGACAGATCTTGACAAAGGTCCACAGATTCCTGCTACTGAGATCCCTGAGCTGCCCTGGATTCTTCACATCCTGTCTGTCAAACTCTCCTTCCACTATGTGTGATTTCCTTGTCTTCACCCAATAATTTTCCCTGTTTCTTAAGAGGGAACACATGGTTACTGTTGCTTGAAAATAACAGATTATTAATTAGTACTATCCCCTAATTGCTTCAGATGCATGTATTTTGTATCCTCAACTAAATTCTAAGTTCTTTGACACTTTAGACTAGGTCTTTCAGTTTTCTCTGCATCTCTGAGTTCTTGGTACACAGGAAACTCAAATACTGGCATTTCCCTTGAATAGACTGGGAGCCTAAAGAGGCACATAACAAACCTTCTGAATGAATACAGGTGACTGAGAGGCATCAGGTGTGGGGAAGTTGATATACAACAAACAGCATCTCCTCCCTAATCAGCTGCTGAAGCACATGGCCAGGGCTTTTCAAGAGCAGAGCTAGCTTTTAGGAGAGGAAAAAGTCCACAAGTGCTGATCCTGTTATAAAAACATTCTTTCCACTGCTAGTCATTAACCTGCAAGCCCAAGTCACTGAGAGAGTGCACCAGCAATACACGCCCTGCAGCAGAATCCCTCTCCAGTTGAATTAGAAACCTTTAACCGAGGCTGGGATGGCATAAACAAGGATAGATTCTGGGCCTTTCTGAAGTCAGAAAATGCACATCTGCTTAAATGTCGAAACCTTCCAACTAGGCTTGTATTTTAAATGAAACAGTTTCATAGATAATGTCTCTTTTGTGCAATAAGTTTGCTTACAAGCATCATGCAAAATCTATACCACCGTGCTAAAAGGAAATTGAAGCAAGGGCAAATATCACTGCCTCTACACTGCACTTGGCAGTCTGTCCTTCGTGTCCATGTATCTGTCTCCTTGGTATCTGCCTGTCTTTCTCCAACTCTCTTTTTGGGTTTTGGTGCTGCTCCCTTGGCTAGGAATGATTCTGCCCATACTTCATCCTGCCATCACCTGTTCTCTGCTTAGATGCCACCCCCTCCAGAGTGAATTTTATGACCCCCCAATCCCCACATGAACTTCTCCCCTTCCCTCAGCCCTATACTGTGTAAGGAGCCCTGTGTGTCTCCTTTGAACTCTGCTCTCACTCTTCACAGCACTTTTTACACTGAATGGTAATGGTCTCGTCATCTGTCTTCCCACTAAAAGACATGCCTCATGCAAACTTCATGAGGCCAGTGACTGGCCCTCATTCACTGCTGCAGTCACTGTGTCAGCAGATGGTATAGAGTTTAGTCATTCACCTAATAAACATTTGCTGAATGCATCCTATGTGCCAGGCTCTGTACTGGGTGCTGGAAACAAACCATGAACAGAAACACAATATCTAGATAACTTACCTTCTAGCTTCGAAGACAGATGTGAATCCAACAAATGTCCAAGTAAATATTATTAAACATCCGTTATTGTACCAATCTCTGTTTTAGAT